GACGGCGGCCCCGCCGCCCTGGGCGCAGCCCCGCCGGCCGCCGGCAGGAGCAAGCGGAGCCAGCGCGGGGGCCACGTGCGGGCCGAGAGCGACGAGATGCTCATGATGCTGACCTACTCCATGGTGCCGGTAGGAGCCGGGCGGGGGGCGGTGCGGAGCGGAGCGGAGCAGCGGGGCCAAGGTCTCCCGCGGGCAGGCGCCGCCCAGGGCCCGCCAGGCTGTGCCAGGAGCTCAAGGTTACCTGCAGGGCGCTTTCTGCTGGCGGGCCTCCATGTCGTCTTGGTTTTCTTCGCACACCTGTATGTATAAAGGTGATGAGCGATCCCGGTGAGCTACCATACTCGCTCATGCCGACAAGCCTGGCCTTCGCCCCAGCTGTGTGGTTGGGCCAGGAAAAGGTATTGCCCGGTTCCCCCCAAACCCTCGCCTCTCTCCCACCAAGAGGAGGCCGACCCAAGGGACCACCACGTTCTCAGGCAGCCGGCTTCGCCTGTCTGCTTTGGTGGACGGCGGGGATGTGTTTTGTAAGGTGTCTCACACTTCGATTCGCTTTTCCTCGAGGGGGAAAGTAATTCACTCGGTCATGAAACAAATCTCATCTCTGTCCCGGACGCGCAGAAGTTAAAGCAGTGCAAAGACCTGTTTGGTCCAGCCCTGCCAGCGCAGCGATTGTGTTGTTACAAAGCAGGGTATTTCCAAAGACGGAGGCAGAGAGCCCCATGAAAAACAGGCGGTGTTCTGACAGGGTGCAGCTCAACTTGCTTAAGCGACTTGGGTGCAGACTAGACAACAACACAGCTCTGAGCAAGGATTTGGAAGGATTCCAAACTTGTTCCAAAAGAGGAGGCTATCGGTTGAAATGATCCCTTTTGCAGTCTTTGGTTTAATTAAGCCACTGCCGAAGACTTTGAGGTTAGTTACCTGTACAGTAGTATAAGATAGAGCTTTTCAAATGTATCCAAAAAAATTATAATTTGGAAGGGTTTAATGTCTATAAGAAGTGCCAGTGCAAGCAAAAGGTAGTGTACCTGCTACTGTACCCTGATACTGTAGTGCCAGATCCTGAAGCCGTTTGGCAAAACTGCACTACATTTCTCACTCTTGAATGGATTTTGTTTTCTTGGTAGAAGTTCTACTTAAGTGCATAACTATTTCCAGCGCTGAGACCTTAGGGCCTGATTCTTCTGCCTGCTAAGCAAAGCATTGCATCAAAACGTGAGGAAACTTAGTAAGACTTTGGCCCAAGTAAAGACTGAAGGCCCCAAAATAATAATAATACAAGGCAATTCCTGCTCTTTTTGCTGATATAAATAATCCTATTGATGTTTAAGGCTTACTCGCTGGAGTAACACTTTTCTGTGTTGCTCTACTCACTGAGACTATTATATTGCATAATAAGCTTGTACTTAAGTTTGAGCACTGTTAAATGCTGACATGGACAGAAGATGTTGTGCATAAAGTTACTTGTGTGTGTTTACACCTTGGACCTATGATACATCGACTTATTTAGAATACAACCATGTTTTTCACTTTTTGCACTTGAATATTGTGTTTGAAGTTCTTGATTTAAATACACAAGCAAAAAAAGTATGTAGTTACAACAACCTGCTATTTCCCCATAGTACAGATCACATTAAAAAGCCCATGTTTTCAATCCTGGTTCATTTTAAAATTCTTTTTCTGAGCTAGACTTTTTTTGTTTAATATCCCAAGTTTTTGCCAGAGCATTTTGCCTTTTGATATCATAAAGCCATGTTCTAAATTTTATTGTAAATTAGTGATAAACAAATTAAACAAATATGATGCTAATAAATGGAATTATACTGATAATGGATACTTTTTGTACTCTCGCATGTCTTACTGGAATGGATGGTCTCCAATTATTATCATTACTCTGGTAAAATTAAAGTTTAAAAGCTTGTTTTAGGTCACACCAAATCTTTGTTTGACCTGAAGTAACCATTTGTATCAGATTTGGAAAACTGAAATGTTTTCCTTCAACTTTCTTCCATTTCTTTCTCCTTTTTTTTTTAATAGAAAATAGCCATTTTGTAAAATTGAAATAAATTAATAACATATTACAATGTTTCTGAATTTACATTTTTCACAAAAAATGGCCAAAGACATTGCCCAATTTTATTAATAAATCCACTCTGCATTTGCCAACTATGGGTATGTTTTTCTGCTTGGTGTCAATTGCAGCTTTGCCTCAGAAGGATTCATGGGTAAAAATAGCGCATGCTGACTGTCAGAACAGTTTTAAAGAAGAATAGGACTTGATCCTAGTATATGTTGAGTATATTGGACCACCTGATATCAGAGAATTTGAAGAGGCAGCAGCTCAGATTTTTAAAGCATCAAATTCCTGTTGATTTCAGTAGGATTTAGATACCAAAATGAACAATCTGGATCTTAGAGTCTTCTGAGTCTTAGAGGCACTGTAGCATTTTGCAAGATTGAACCATTAGTTACCTAAGGTTAGAAGCCCCATTTTTATTCATAAAACCCCCATGTTTATTAATATGTGCTTCATTTGAGTGTATCCTCCAAAGCATCTCTTGATTTCCTCTTTTGGCACCCATTCCTGAAATTCTTATTGATACAATAATGTACATAAAATTTGCCTTACTCTGATCCCAACACACAAAGTACATAATTATTTCTGTACTCGGGGGATAAAGTCCTTCTGTTTCTCCAGTGAAAGTTCCTGGAAGTCAAGATCTGATGGTCATGTTTTTAATATATTTTGTGTTTTGACTACTTGATATGCTTCACAACATGATCCAAACTTCTTTGGGTCAATGGGATGATCCTTGTTGATCTCAGTAGACTTTGGATCAAGCTTTTCATGCTTTGTTGAATCAGGAGTAGAAGTTTTGCGAGTAGTACCTGACATAGGACATGCATAGGCTACCTTGTGCATATTCGAATTTCTAGTGATCCTGACCTATGCCTGGACCAATAATACCAGATAGGTATAACAATCGATCAGTTTGAGCAGAAAAGCATTAGGATACTAAACATTTTGTGTGCATCTGTGAGAGAGAGATTGTTGGTTTTTGCCAGTTTGTATAAGGCAGCAGAACCCCCATATCTGATCCTAGAGATCAAGATTTTAAAAAATGATGGGTAACCTTGGTCTTGTAAGTAAAACAACAAAGCCCAAAAGTGTGTCCTGAATTGTGCAGTGTTAAATGACTGCATAAGAATGCCCTCGTTCATATCAAAATTGTTTAGCTTATTTTCTAAATCAGAAATATCAGGTCTTGATTTCCTTGCTTTTGTGAGCTACAGCTTTAGTATCCATCAAATAGGGAGGAGGCCAAACTGAGTCTCATACTCTGTCTCCCTGTCCTCCTCCTACTCGTCAAAGAATTCTCTAGCTAAACTGTCTGATCAAAACTTGCAATTCCTGATGTGTTCCCTCCGCACCAAAAATAAAGTCTGTGTTGGTTATATATGCATGATAATGGGTTAGTAAAAGACAGGAGGAGAAAAATACTTTGCCATTCATCCTTAACTACAGCAGGGTAAGTAGACTGAATGGGCACGTATACACGTGCCTGATACCTGTGCTGATGCTTACTAATTGGCATGCTCCAGCAGCCTTGGTGTCATGTGTATTCAGCAACCTTGTATTTCAGAATGGCAGCAGCGGCGCTTTAACTAAAGCCCATTAAATGAGCTTTAGTTAAAACTCCCCCCCCATCATTTTGAAGCATGGGATGCCAAATACTGAAGATGCTGCTGATGCTTTAATCAGAGCAGCTCCTGAGAGTCTCTTTCCTCTCCATCCCCCACACTGGAGCACGTGTAAAGACTCCCACTATGTTAAAGCTCTCAAGGATCATAGACTTTTGAAGAATTGCAATATCACACTGTTCTACATTAGAGCTGCTTGGAAGATATCAACAGTTGAGTTTGGTGACATCTTTTGAGGTTGCAGAATTTGTTGTCATTCTGTATTAGAAAAAAAACAAAATGTTTGAATGTTTTTGTAAAAGTGGCATTGAAACATGCCTTATGGCTTAGGAGCATGGAAAATCCAGGTGTAAATCCCCTCTCTGTCTGAAACAATGATCTCTGTTGAAAAATTTTGCTTTAAATAAAGCAAAGCAGGAACTTGAACCTGGATTTCTGGCTTCCCAGGCCTCAACTCAACAAAATTCCTTGCAATTGAAAATATTTTGACTCTTTCTTCCCTGCTTCCCTATGCATAAAACAAATCACTGCTTCCTAAACTGTTCGCACATTTCCATCCTTAGGAGACAGTCCTGTGAACATTCAGGTATAGGAACAACTTCATTTTCATTAGTCATCCTATTGATTTTATTTTGCTAGATTTCAGTGGAACTACTGCTGAAAAATGTGAGTGATTTTGAAGTTGTTGAAGAAGAGGCTCTGTATTACCCTTATATTAAGGAGATTGCTACAACATGTGATCACTACGATATAGTTGTAAGATTCTGTAGGAAAGCAGGAAATGGTGTTCTTTTGGGTAATCTTTTTTGAAAATCAAAATTATGAAAGTGCTCTGCATTTTTTTCAGCCATTGAATATAGAGAAATGAGTAGTTTTGCATATACTATAGTAATTCAAAGTTTGGGGAGGCAAGATGAGAAGGTGTTTTGACCAGCTATACGAAAAGTAAACATTAATTTTGATTCTTGCAAAATAGACTTTATTAGACCCAGTCCTTAGCAGCCACTAATACCAGAGCCATGAAAACTGGCTTGCTTTTCTCTCTCTCATTTTCTGATTGGGTCTGGTAGGCAGAGTTAATGGTTCCATTTGATATAATGCTTTGTGTTACTGAATTCTTGGCATTTTCTATTGTTATCAGTTTTGTCTTTTAAAGAAAAAATGCTGCTCTCAGGCAACTTTTTAATGTTGAAACCAGGTGTTCACTTATATCTGTACCTCTCATCTTCTAATTTACCTTGAGTGAGGCAGCAGTTCATAAGCTGTGAAGAGCAATAGGCTTCTAACTTCATCATGCTATATCCAGCAGTTCCTCTGTAGATGCTATTTCCTGTGGCATACTTGCTTCTTGTGCCATATGTGGTTACACAGTAACCAAGATTACATTGATTTGCCAAAAATACTCTGTTGAGGTAATTAGATGCAGTGACTTTAGCAATCTCAGCAAAACCATTCAGATTAAAATGCCATTTGAACTGAAAAATATTTGGAATACTTGGCATGCTGTAAATTACAGTATGGAAATTGAGTTTTAGGAAAATTCAAGAAAATTCTAACGTGGAAAAAATATTAGCTATTCTTAGCTAAGCTGAATTAATGTCTAAACCTCTTAAATATAAAAGCTGTATTAATACAGTTGGTTGAAATTCAGTAATCGAAATGTATTTAATAGAATTAATGTCTTTGAATGCTTATGCTACATTCTGTGATGTCATGTTGCCAAAATAATTCATTTACCTAAAACAACTACAGTAATCATTCATAGTGTTAATGACGAATGAATTAGAAGGTAAAGATTGTAATCAATTTACCTTAGTTGGTAAGACTGAGTCACAACCTTCCTTCACCTTTTAGATTGACTTCTACTTGTTAGAGCTGTTCAAGTGTCTCTCATGTTGCTAACTGCTTGAAGTGTTGATGTAATTCTTGTCCCATCACATCCTCCCCCCCCCCAATCTTTCCTAGTGAAATAAGAAGGGGCCGAGTAAAGAGGGCCAAGTAAAGAGGGAAGATGACATCCTTAGCCTTGCTCGAGATGCCTCGGTAGATGCATACCAATGTTTGATTTGCTCTGCCAGCTACAGCATTGCATTGGTGGCTCATGTTCATTTTGTTGTCTATCACAACACCCAGGTCTTGTTCAGATGTGGTGCTAGCAAGTGTAGTACTGCTGAGCCTGTAAATGTGTTGTGGATTATTTCTCCCCTGATGGAATACTTTACATTTGTCCATATTAAATGACACCAGGTTGTTGTCTTCCCATCTTGTGAGCCTGTCTAGGTCAGCCTGTATTGTCAGTCTGTCTTCAAGTATGACCACGCTCCCCCATAGTCTGGTGTCAGCCTGTCTTCAAGTGTTGCTGTTGGCAGAAGATTGTAACAAAGACTTGGCTTAGGCATTTTATGGCTGATGGTTGCTGTTCATGGTACTACAAAGTTTTAGCTGACCGTGTGCTTGTCTCTGGTTGTCTGAAAGAAGGATGGGAGAACTGTACAAGAAGACTTAGGAGGTGATGAAAGATGCTGTATAGACAGGCTTACAGACTGAAATTCCCCATTTACACAAGAGGTGGAGCAGAGAAAATGGATGAATAAGTTTCCTCATGCGCCTCAGCTACAGAATCTCACCTCTTGAGTTGCGAGGGATCGGATAGTTGTAAATCCTCTGTTTCCCTGAATGAGTCTGCCTAAAAGAGGGCTCACTACAGCCAAATTTAGTGGTAGTTTTTAACATGTCTAGTATGAGTTGCATACAGACCCCAATCATAGAGGCCTTTGAAAAGATAGCATGTAGTTATAGCATTTTCTTCATCAACGATCTGGAAGATGAAATGGAGTGCAACTTCATCAACCTTGCAGATGACACTAAGCTGGGGGGAATAGTAGATACACTGGAGGGCAGCTAGGATTCAGAGAGACCTAGACAAATTGGAGGATGGGACCAAAAGAAATCTAACGTGGTTCAATAAAGACAAGTGCAAAGTCCTGCACTTGGGACAGAACAGTCCTATGTACCAGTACAGGCTAGGCACTGACTGTCTGGGCAGCAGCTCTGCAGAAAAGGACCTGGGGGTTACAGTGGACAAAAAGATGGACATAAGTCACCAGTGTGCCTGTGTTGTGAAGAAGGCTAACGGCATCCTGGGCTGCAGTGGTAGGTGTGCTGCCAGCAGATTGGGGGAAGTGATTCTTCCCCTGTATTTGGCACTGGTAAAGCCACATCTGGAGTACTGTGTCCAGTTTTGTCTCTCACATCCCCCCACATTACAGAAAGGATGTAGAGGAGTTGGAGAGAAACCAGCGGAGGGCAACAAAAATCGTTCGGGCCTGGGGCACATGACTTCTGAGGAGAGGCTGAGGGAACTGCACTTATTTAGTCTGGGGAAGGGAAGGCTGAGAGGGGATTTAATATCAGCCTTCAACTACCTGAAGGTTGGTTCCACAGAGGATGGAACTGGACTGTTCTCACTGGTGACAGATGACAGAACAAGGAGCAATGGTCTTAAGTTGCAGCAAGGGAAGTTTAGGTTTGATATTAGGAAAAACTCTCACAAGGAGGGTAGTAAGGCATTGGAACAGCTTGTGGAATCTCCATCCTTGGAGGTTTTTAAGACCTGGCTAGACAAAGCATTGGCTGGGATGATCTAGCTGGGGCTGGTCCTGCTTTGAGCAGGTGGCTGGACCATGTGACTTCCTGAGGTCCCTTCCAACTCTAATTTTCTATGATTTTGTGGTTCCATATGTATGTATATTCATGCATGTTGAATGGAGGCATTGTTTTTCACCAGGATCAATGAAGGATGGAGGTCAGACTGTGTCTCCTTTGGGATTTCTAAAAAAAATCTGCATGCAGTGGATGAGACATACAGTGGGAATGTTTGGTAGCTGTCTATGATCCTGCAAGATGCTGAATGCTACATGCTACCGTTAAAATGTATGGGTTTTGAAAGAGTTCAGCACGTCACAGGACTGAATATGTTACTAGGATGATACTCATCTGTTTTGAAGTAAATAAAGGAAATGTAGAAGAGACCAATATGCACCAGTGGGCATACCTACAACTTAACATTTTACTAGATATGGTTTTCTTAAGGTAGTAAATGTTACTCCTGTCTAGAGTACAAACATCAGAACAAATTTATTTGCTCTGTTTTGGGATGTATGTACCTCCCCATTATCATAGCTTCTTAGTGCCAGGAACGGATGAAATTCTAGTGCTTTCAATCCTGATTTATATTGCTGCCCCCTCTCATATTAAATAAAGCAATTATTAAGGATCACTTTATATAGCTGGTAAACAAGATGAGCTGTTGTGTGTTGGTATAATAAGGTGTCAGACTTAATACTCTGATTACATCCAGAGTTGCAGTATCTTTGAAAAATATTTTCATATCTGTTAAAATGGTACAATGCACAGGTTCTGAAAAGTAGAATTGTTACAAGAGACGCATCTAGTGAAGAACGTAATTAATGCCTAAATATTTCGTTCTTATTTTAGAAGGGTTGTAAAGTGTTAAAACGTAGTTCTAAAGCAGATAATTACTTTTTGCATTGTGGTCACATACAGGAATGAAGCAGACCAGAGATGTGGTGTTTGGTTTTCCTGTGGTAACTGATATTGTGTGTATTGTTGTAAACTTTACTTTCTTTGCTGTATTAGGTTCGGGTGATGGTGGATTTATGTAACAGCACAAAAGGGATATGCTTAACAGGTATGTCAGCAAATACTCCTGTAAACATTGCACGTAATCCTGTTTTTCTGTTGAAATAATGTATTTGGGAGAAATAAGCTTGAGGAAAAAAACAGTTTGAAATACCAAAGAATGATGCTGACAGCATGGCTACAAATATACAGTATCTTTGGTTTTATACTTTTTAAGGAGATGAATAAGAAATACTGTAGTAATAGCAATAATACCTACCTGTTGTAGATGCAAGAACTTAAAGTCCCTAGAGACATTGTTACTTGAGGTATGTTTTTGAGTCTACCCCTTCAGAGCTTATTACAGAATTAGGGATTTTGTAAAGATACTTAACCCTAAATTGTTCATAATGTTGGCATCTTTGTGGTGTTATATGAGCACTGATGACAGGTCTCTAGATCAGCATGAGACACACAGGGAAAAGGACAGGGGTTTCCTGTCACTATTGCAACTGCCATGGTTCAGGTAGGGTGGAGTTGGTGGACTCTGAAGGGCGATGTTTTCAGTTCTTGAGCAAATTGGTTTCTTGGGAATGCAACAGGGGTCCAGAACTCCCATTGATGCAGCAGTTGGAAGACATGAAAACTTTTTATGTACCCTGGGAAAACCAGAAACTAAGAAGCTAACCAAGAGCTGAGAGCTGCATCTCAGCTTTGCTAGCCAAATATACAGTTGGCAGAGTCACTTGTGCTGACTGACGTTTGAAAATAAGAGAATGAACCCTTGGGGTTTATTCAGCAAAATGGTTAAAGTGATTTGCAGTCTGGTCTGAACTGCAGTTCCATTGCTTTAATACCCATTCCCAGGATAGAGAAGATGCTAGAGACAAAAACACCTTGCAACTGCAGATGGAATTTGCAGGTGGAATTTGACTCTAACAAAGACTGTGCTGCAGACAAGTACATGTTAAAGGCATCTTGCTTTGGGTTTCAGAGTTCTAGCAGGCACAGAGCAGTGCAAATACAGGTCCCTTTGCATGGACGCCCTGTTCCTTCATTATAGATTGAATCATACTCCACTAACCTCATTAATTTTAAGTTTCCTACACTATAGATTTTGGTTACATGAAGTTTATTACTTTTGAAATACTTTTCCCACTTATATTACTATGAACAGACATTCAGGATTCTCAGTGAATTCAAGGTGATTTAGAGCACCAAGAGAGAAATTGCCGGGGGTGGGGAGAGGGAACAGGCACTTCTGGCAGATTGTCTGAAGGGATTTACTATTATCTACCAAGATGGGTAAAAACTGCAAGCATTAATTAACTACAGTGTTAATGTTAGTCTGAAACATGCTCCACTCTGCTAAGCAGTGGGTATACTGAACTTCTTAAAGCTGTCAGGTATAAAGTGAGAGAATTAGTTATTTTCATAATGCTTATTTAGGGGGCTTTTATTAACAATTTTGTAGGCCTGTTACAATGTATAATGAATATGGTTCTTTAATTACAGCAGTAATCTATTGTATTTCTCCATACTTCCTTGTTTTTGGTTTGCTTTGTTTTTTGTTTTAGTTATATATATAACATGTACTAGAAATCCTGAAGGATAAATAACATGCCACTTCTTATACCAGTGTTTTTATGTGAATAATTTACTTCTGCCAGGTAAGAATTATGGGCTTGCATCTCATTTACATTAAGGCCCTTTTACATTGCTCTGTCAGTTTGAAGACTCTTTAAAGTACTTCCGAGTGCCACCTATTATCATTTACAGTGTTAAAGGAGATAGCAGAAATATGGATGGAAGATGGATGATAATTTTTATTTACCCAGAGGAGAACTGGCTTAGACATAGTCAAAGTTATAGAGCAGAATTGGCAAGCTTTCCCTAGTTTCCCTTTATTACGTATGTTCCTTGAATAACTAAAAGCAAATCCAGTATCTAATATTATCCAGTAGGGAATTTCTGTGAGCAAGTAAATCCAGTCCAGAAGAGAAAGTGATTTAAATGTAAAATAAGCCATTTTTTTGGCCTGTAGTTTTAAAAGCCTGTTTCAAACATCTGAATTCCTTGTGAAGATGCACACAAGTGTGTCCTTTTACTGAATGTTTTCTAAGGGATTTTTTTCCTCATGACATTCACAACACTTCTCTTGAAGTATAGAGTCATTTTATCACTGCCCCAAGTATGGAACAACAATTCCTGGATTATTTTGGTCCATATTACCGGAAAGGCATAGAAACCTCTCTAATTAATTCATTCAACTGCACTGAGATTATACTGCAGAGACTGTTCTTTGTCAGATCTTTATCAATGGAAATTTGAGATATAACTGGTCTTGGGATGCAAAAATGGGTATTTTATAATTGCTGTAGTCATAATCTTTCAGCAAGTATAGCTGGGTCTGCACTAATGCCACAGTAGTTATTTTAATACAAAATAGTTAGGCCCATAGGTCCAAGATATAATGTTAATCCGTTGAGTTTAGCTTTTGTTTTACTTCTGTTGTTATGCTCATTTTGTTTCTCTCTCTTGTGTTCTTTTATTTGTTCGTGCTTTAGGCCCCCCTGGCCCTCCAGGTAAGATACTCTTTCAGCTGTAATACTATAGGCATATTGAGACGGTTACTGGTTTAAAAATAAGCATATAGAAAAAATATCTGTGACAAAAGTAGTTTTGCATTACTGAATAATATAAGGGAGGAATGAATTAATACATTTCCTGAAGACTAGCCCTTTACTGTGATTTAATTAACATTTCTCAAGAGAGAGAAAAAAATACTTGAATGCTGGATATTTGGAAGTTCTTGTAGCTTGACTGCAATGTGGCCAGAGGTTGTAATGTTTGTGTAGAGGAAAATCAATTCTGCCCTTTTTTTCTGTCTATTCTTATGAGGCTCCTGTCATCATCTAACCTGTTCTAGTGATTTTGCTTTAACTGCCAGCTGATCTTAGGGTGTCATGCCCATCCACTAACACATTACTTTCAGTATTTTAGCTATTTCCATGAATTAACTGTAATAACTTAAGAACTTCAGATATATGCTACAGAAGTACAAAAAGTGCTTTGCAAATGTTAACAACTTCACCTTTGTAACCTTTGTGCAGGATAAATGGTTGTTTTCTTTTTCTTAGGGCAGTTCCATATTTCAGTTAAAGTCATTCTGGTCTAAATGCTTTGAATTTTAAAATGTAATGCCTAAGTTACTTTATGCTCAGCAGTTTGCTTCACTACTTCCTTCCCAATAAGGCATGCAGCACTGGGCTCTGGGAAATAGCTTTCTGTCTTGTACAGGAAATCTGATTAGCTCTTCCATGCAGAGGCTAATGGCAGTATGAGGGCTGCACCAGACCTTTGCCTATCACTGTTGCCTGGTCTGGGCTGCAATAGTAGCAGTCCAATAGAAGCAGAGTGAGGACAGCAACGACACCAGTTCAGAAGGTGAAAGTGAAGGTGTGTGTGGAAAGCATGTTCCACACTGCGGGCAGAGGGACAGCAGTCCCATTTTTGTATTGATTACCAGGACACTTAACTATTTTATAGAGGGGGAATCTGAAGAGGTTAAAAGGTCCAGATTTTTAAAGGGGCTTGCTAAACAGGCAGAAAAGAACTGAACTTCACCATCCAGCTTCTATTCACATTTTCAAAACCAGAGCTTAGGCAACTCCTAAGTCCCTTTGATGCCTAATTTTGGCATTTTCAGTCTGACCCTTATTCGTGCTGCCACCACACAGCCAGTGAGCTGCTTGGAGTGGAAGATGAAGATGGGCTCTGAAGCAGTTCTCGTAAACTATGCAAGGGAATGTCTGCCTCACCAGCACGTCCCAGTCCTGCAGAGGTGCTCTGTGCATGCCGCAACCTGCCCACACCTGGTTTAAAAGTGTGACCCCATACCTGCTTAAATGTATGGGAAGGGTTGCCTCTAAGGGGACAGAGCCCAGTAGAGGTTCCTGTCCTTGGTCTATCAGCCAGGTACCATGCTATCCTCTTAGGCATGTAAGCTGGGCTTCTCTCCACGTTTTCTTCCTGGTTTGTTTGGGCAGTTTTTTGCTCAGCTAGGGGACTTCTGAGAATTTCTTTACTAGGCAATTCAGTATCCTCAAGTACTCTCTGGTACTACCATATTTGGGCCTGAAAATCCTACTAGGTGTTGGGCCACCTAGGATTTAGGGGTTGTTTAAGGTTGTTGAAGCTCTGATAGATCTGAAGTCTTACTCTTCCCTTTCTGTTGAGTGTGTGGGGGATGGGGGCAGAGAGGGGAGCTCATTCTAATCTTATTAGTCGAGTTTCCCTAGAAGACTTTAGCTTCCTGAATGCATATATATTTTTATGCATGCCTGTGTGCTACTTAACTAGGTAACATTTTTTAGTTGGTAGCAATGCAGTACTACCAAAGTGATACAAAATAATTGGAATATTCTGGTGATTCTGGCTGTTTTAACTTCAACATATTGTTATTCTTATATGAATATTTCTGACAATCATGTAGAATCCTTCAGCCATTTATTAGCAAATACACCCACTCCAAACAATAAGGTGATTATTTCAATATTATGTTTTCCATCATAAAATTATTTTTTTCAGAATAAAATGAATGTTAGATCCATAAGGCATTAATTAAGTACTAAATATTATGAAATGCATAATATAAGCTACAGGGGTTTAGGCTGTCTGCCTAATATAAGCCATACACATGTCTGCATGTGTTTGCACATGTGGCAGCTATTATTTATGTTATTCATTTCAAGTAATTAAAACTTTAATTAATTTAATTTGTTCATTGTTTATTTCATCATCAAATCTTGACGAATGCTTTTTTTCTACTGGAGAATTTCTTTTGTGCTCAGCTGGTCTAATAAATGGACATACAATATGATGCACTACTTTTTCATTTAGAGGGATTTTTTGAGGTACCGGTATGTATTCTTCGACATTCATGTCCTTCAACACCTACCTTTCACAATAAACAGGGATGGTTCTAAGATGGTCAATTTGTTTATGTGTAATTGCTATTTAAGGATGGTTCCTTTGGTTCTGTACATGTTTTTTTCACATTCGGGTTCTGATTCAGGGAAACAGTTAACTTATTTAAGCCCTGTTAGGTCAACAGGAGTAAAGATGTGCTTAAGGTTAAGCATGTATTAAGCACTTTTTATAGACAAGGATGCATCCCTGAATCAGGTCCCTAAAATTATGTTCAGTTTAGTTTCATAGATTTCATAGATTTCATAGACATTAGGGCTGGAAGGGACCACGGAAGATCATCGAGTCCAGCCCCCCGCCCAAAGGGCAGGAAGTCAGCCGGGGTCACAGGATCCCAGCAAGATAAGCATCCAGTTTGCTCTTGAAGGTGTTCAATGTAGGCGCTTGAACCACCTCCGGTGGCAGGCTGTTCTAGACCTTGGGGGCTCGGACAGTAAAGAAATTCTTCCTTATGTCCAGCCTGAAATGGTCTTGTAGTAGTTTATGACCGTTCGACCTCGTCATCCCTTGGGGCACTCTGGTGAACAAACGTTCCCCCAGATACTGGTGGTCACCCCTGATAAACTTGTAGGTGGCCATCAGATCACCCCTGAGCCTGCGCTTTTCCAGGCTAAAGAGCCCCAGGGCTCTCAGCCTGTCATCATAGGGTCTGCTTCCCTGACCTCTGATCATGCACATGGCTCTTCTCTGGACTCTCTCAAGCTTCTCCACATCCTTTTTGAATTGTGGAGCCCAAAAATGGACGCAGTACTCCAGCTGCGGCCTCACCAAGGCCGAGTACAAGGGGAGAATGACGTCCCGGGATTTGCTTGAGAAGCATCTATGGATGCAAGTCAGCGTTTTGGTCGCTTTAGTTTATTACAGCAGAGGTCCTAACACTGGTATAAGAAACAGGAGGTACGAAGTCTAGATCTAATGATAAAGCTAGGGATGGCAAAATTCATGCCGTTGAATTTAAACTAGAACCTTCCTTCCTCCAAATGTATGAATATCCTCTGTAAAGTAATGTGTGCAAAAGCTGAGGGATGGGAGGCTTTAGAAACAGCAGCTTTGAGAATAACTGTGGAATCTTTGAAGTTCAAATTCCCTCTGATTCCAGTCAAATGCGATTTGTGGGCTGCTGCGTGTGTTCCATTTTATTCCCTTGGTAGTCTCAGAAGTAGGGCAGGAATTAGGTTCAAACAGGAATATTTATTGTTTGCAGAGTGCAGGCTTCCATCTACTGAAAAATAGAGGGTGCTTAATCACGTTTTCCTTTAAACAGTGGTTTAAATGGGAGCAAATGTTTGGTCTAACTTCAAAAGATTTATAAAATCCATAACTTAAGAAACAGTTATAGTTTCTCACATTGTTGTGTTTTCATTTTCCTAGTAAAAACCAAAATGCTGGTCATCGAAGCAAGGTAGAGTAAGTGGGCCTTGAGCATGGGAGCAACACACAGTTTAGGTTAGGCAGTTGTTTCTCTTCAGACCCATGGTAGAGCAAAGAACACCAGCACAAATGCAACTATGTCCCATGGGCTGTGATAGTAGCCCCTGCTGTGGCATGTCCCCCATGTCACTGGTCACCCCTCTTTCCTCAATTCCCTTGTCCCATGCAGAGGGTGGATAAGGAGCACTGCTGCACGTTACCAAATGCTTGTGCAGTTGTATTGTACTTCGCCTCCTATTCCACGCTCAGCAGAACTGCTCTGGTTTTATTGTATTTTGGGGACTTGTAGTTTCAGATTTTACTCTCAAATACTGTCCTTAATCAAAGCATTAAATGGATAAAATAGACTTTTGGCTTTGGACTTTTGACTTCTTTTTCTTATGTCCCCTTATTTCATTCTCTATTTCCCTTCTCACTTGACTGACTTCCAGCTACAGGGGCAATTACTTGCTGTCTTCTCTTGCTGCTTTAATTGCAATTCTTTCTTGCCGCCTTTCCTCCTATATCTGGCCAGCTGCAGCTTGGCAGTACCTAATCGTTCTAACAGGTAGGGAATTGTTATCATCACTTTAGTGAGAGGTTAGTTGATGCCAGAGAAGTTACAGGAGATTAGTCCAAGACCACACAGTTAGGGGCAGAGACAGGAACAGATTAGAACTCCTACTTCTTTCTTGGTGGTTCTCAACCATCTTTCAGTGACAGCTTGTTAGAAACAAAAACAGGCCTGGCAACCTTATTCCATAGTTTTAGAATCCTTCTCCCATCCAGCCAAAGATGGTCATGTCCCCCATGTATTTTAGACCCTCATTTTGCAATCCCAGGGACCAGAATCAAACTGTCTTTCTATTGAGCTTTCTTCAAAATGTATAGCACCAATTTGTCAGTGACAGTTTTGTGAAATGATTGTGATATCTTAAGGCATTTATACACATGCTTTGGGAGTGAGCTTTACAGTGGCTCATGGAGGCTTGTTTTAAGTACAGCTCATTCGATGAGCATCCCCACTGCCATTTTTAAGTGAGGGGATGCTGATACATGAGACACTGGAGTCTGCTGGAGTGCAGTAATTACCATGTTTCAGCAGACTTGATTAATTGTACATTCCACACTGCCAAAGTGCCTCACTTATTTTGGTTTACACATTGGTGTCAGAAAATGGATGAACAGAATTTGCAGTGGAGGATATGCCATACTTTGAAACCCAATAATGGCAGGTTCTAGACATCTGCTATATAATAAGTGCAGCAACTTTAAGGATGGAAAAATGTTAATGGTTTTCAATTGCTGTACATGATCTTGTCCTGTTGGTTTGTTCAGGGCCCCCTGGACTCGACGGATTACCTGGCTACAATGGAACTGATGGAATTCCAGGCCTCCCAGGGCCTAAGGGGGAGCCAGGAGTAAATGGAAGAAGAGGAAAAATAGGTACTTTGACAGACAGTGTAATAAAGCCTTCTTAATACTGTACATTTGTATTGTAGGTGCTGGACAGAGGAAATGAAATTCAGTATATGGGGAATTTTGTTTATAGACATCTAATAGGGGAGAGTTCTGCCCTTGCTGACATAGACATAGTTTCCACTGACTTTATCAGCTTTAAACCAGTTTGACTTCATGGACTTCTGTGATGCCATCACTCCAGATTTATGCTGCACTGAGGCCATAGCAAGCATAGTATAGTATACTCACTAATTAGAGGTGCACAATAGGGTCCAAAACATGGTTGGGGCTCTAGGCGCTACCATAATGTAAATTAGTGGGGCTGACCTGCACTCTAACAATACTTTGCACTACTATATGCCATTTATGAGGACCCCAAATGTGATTGGAAACATTCAGCTTCCCAAAACAGCAGCATGAATGAACATGTAGTAGAGAGGTTATATGTTGTTAAGTGTATACATGACCATGGCCAAGCAGGGAATAGTGTCCCAGCTTCTTGCAGTGACCTGAATTCTCCAGTGTGGCCTAGGAGCACTGGACCCAGAGACCCTGATGTATTTACTGTGCTGATTGTGGAGGGTGGGACCAAAAGGTCCACTGTTCACATCAGAACAAGTGTGTGAAAGCAATGTTATTCATCTCCTGTCTACCTAACGCAGTAGTATCTACTTAATACCTACCATTAAGAAACACATTTAGTTTGTTTAATCTTATTTGGCAGTATGGGCCCAAAGCTGACATGGGCCCAAAGATGCGACTTAAAAGCTGGGCTGGTTGGGAGGTGTACATTTCACACTGCCAAAGTGCCTTGCTCCCAGAAACAGCCAAAGGAACCAATACTAATGGAGTTTTTTGTTGGCTGACCACAGCAAAGCGTTCATGATTCGGTGGCTATGGTGGCTGAACTGTCACCTTTGTGTGCCCTGTAGAGGCTTGACAGTGGGTTGGATTGGGGAAGTTGTCTGCTACAACCTAGTCACCACAAGTTTGGAGGATAAGCAATTGGCTTGAATCTCCAGGAATGTGATTTTAATTCTTTCAAACACCATTTGGGGTTAAATTTAGAAAACAGGGTGAATCCTGCCTCTATTAGATATAATGGCAGTTTACCAATGACTTTAGGATTTCATCTCAGAACTCCTAGTATATTTTGTGTTTCACTGTTGAATCATTTTAAATAGTTGAGTTGCATGTAAAAAAAAAAAAAATGGTATTTTTATACCCAGTATCTACCAACTGGTTGAGTGATTCACACTGGCATCAGAACTTTGCAGCTCTACTGGTAGCACAATTGTTTGCTTTTCTGTAGTTGCTAACATCTTTGTGTTTTGGGAGAGAGAGAAAAGCAGAAAGAACAAAGTTTTGACACACAAATTATACAAACACATTTTGTTCTTTTTCATTTTTTTCCCCTTACTGCATAATGTGCTGACGGAGGTTGCTTGGAGTCATAAGACTCAACAATGCAATGTGGTGTTTAACATTTTACTAAGTGGTCAGCTGCATAAAGCATCTGGACCGGTCATTCTCATAGCTAGTGTGGAGGCAGGATGAAGAGGCAGCATGAGGACATTACTAGGAAATGAAGGCTGCACGCTATCATGATGTCAGAAAAATAAAATGTTAAGAACACAATAAAGGTAATTTTACTAGAAGAGGAGATTTTTTGTTTTTCTTGGCTCAAGTTATCATGCTACCAACAACGAGTGCAGTATTATCTTAAAAGACAGCCAAGTGGAGTTGTATTGATGGCTGTTTTTTTTTTTCTTCATGTTCTACAAAATCATGGACAGTATCTGAAAGCAAGTGATTGTGAATAACAGTTCCCTCAAAATTTGTTTTTAAATAGCATTCAGGAAGGTTTAATTGACTAGCAAAGAAAAATAAAGGAAAGCCGGCAAAGCAGCCTATGAAAAGTTTTGTGCTAAAAGTAATAAAGCAGTAAGTGTTTTCTGGTGGCTGGTGGGTAGATAGAAGTCAGAATTCTTGTGTTCTGAGCTGATTCCCTAGTGGCACATTTTTTCTCACTTTTTTCCTCTTTCCTCATAGTGGTCATCTCCCAGAAACACTCATGTTGGTGCCAAGCACTTCAGACTCCATTTCTAAGCATCCCATGCCAGGCACCCAAAATTACAGAGCATTTGTTTAAAGACAACCCCCCCCCCCCCGCCCCAGTGACCTGTGCATTATACAAGTATTTTGAAACCTTACTATTCGTCTACAGAACTTTTTGTTTTTTCTTCTTGATCATAAAAAATAATTGGAAGCTACAACACTGATAAACAGCATGTCAAATAAAATGACTGGTTTAATACTGCATAAATAATATGTGCTGGGTATTTACCATTAAGACAAAAAAGGAAGGGAAGGTACATTTACTTTAGAAATTATTTCCTTATAAATATATTTATTCACAGTCATGGCTAACATGTTGTTCTTGTCTAGGTTTACCAGGACCGAAAGGTGATCAAGGAGAGAGAGGAGAAAAAGGAGACCCTGGTGAGCTGGGTTTACCTGGCAAAGATGGGGTGCCAGGAGCAAAAGGCTCAAGAGGAGCAAAGGGTGATAAAGGGGATGCAAACAACAACGTGATATTGGAAGGTAAGAACAAACATTTCTACAACGTCCTGTGACACAGAAATACACAATCCAATAAAGCTGCCTGCCCTCTACAGCACTAAGGTATTCTGCAAAAGTAGCCCCAAGCACTTCAGTTTACTGTAATAATTTAAGCTACTGCTAAAGCAATGCCATTAGTACTTTCTTTGGCTTAAACATTTAAAGTCACTTACAGTGAAATATCCAAAGAGGTGCAGGGGCCACAGAAAGTCCCGAGAGAGAGGCACTGCAGCAGTTCTGCTTGGAAAATCATACAAGGGTGCACAGGTAGGGTCTGACACTATACAGTTGGGCTGGGCTTAATCCCAGTTGTGGGTAGCTGAGCATATTCGAGGGTTTGGAAGCAGCTGGTAGAGCCCCCCTCCCATGGGATTATGCTCCTCATCCTGGTGTAGCTCCCCACAAAAACTCTTTTACTCAGACTTTGGACAGAGAGATGTACGCATTTCCAGTCCATTTTCATTCAGTAACTTTCCCCTTCATCTTGCAGTTTTTCCTATTAGAAAACGATGGGCAGGTTTCCACCTAGGAATGCATGGTGGAGGCCTCTTGCCAGCCACAAATAATTGCTGCCTAAAATTACAGCACTGGAGCTTCAGACTCTGAGGTCTCAGAAAGCAGGAAGGGTAGTCCTGCTTTTAATTACAGCCCCATGTTCTCTTTGGTTGCGACACAGCCACAATGCCAAAAGGATAGGATAAAACAATTTAGTTGTGATAGTTTGAAAAACACATCAGACTTTTTTTTTTTTTTAAAAACCTGGCTACAATTAAAAGCAATAGCTGTCACAAATAGGTCAGGAGCCTGCTACTTTGTTATTGAGAACCACAGGGAAAGCAGTGAAATATGTATCAAATCATTTCTGTTATTGTTATACATTTCCATTTGTTTGCTTGCTCACAGATGTGGGGAGGTATGTGTTTGGAACAGACATGTGCGTAGCTTATTCCTGTAGTAAATATCATTGTATTGCACCACTTCGTTCAACTCTGTGCCTTCAGACAGGGCCCATGTGTGGGAGCGATCACCAGGCAAAAGCTATATTAGAAGTACCCGCAAGCTTCTTTTTGTCTATCAAATCCAACGCATATAGGAAGCCAGCTATGTAAGGCGCATTCACCTCTACTACCTTAATCTCTACTCTGCTTTATGCCTAGGTACCAAAGGTGAGCCAGGGGCCCCAGGGCCACCTGGCCCACCAGGGCCACCAGGTCCTCCAGGTCCTCCCGGTCCACCAGGGAAACGCAAAGCAAAAGCCCAGATTCAAGAGAACATGTACAGCAGCAAGTGCACAGGTCGGTGCTGGTGTCTGGGATTTGTGCATTTACATTTTTGCCATTATGGCAGGTACTAGGTTACATTTGCTATGAGCCTCTGATCCCCTGAAGCACTCAAGCATGTACTCAGCTACGTTGGCTTCAATGAGACTACTCACAAGCTTGATCTCAAGCCTGTGCTTAAGAATTTTGCTCTATCCTAGGCCAGTGAGGTGGCATGCAGTCCCTGTTAATACCTCCTGCTTTTACATTTGTGGCTAAACATTTCCATATGATGTTCTGTGCTGGACAGGGTGAGGCTGGGGAGTAAATAGGTTCTCTGAGTTATAAGAGGATGTAGGAGGGAATTAAAAACAAGTCCTTTTGTGGAGTGGGTAAAAAATAATTGCCAAAGAGAATAAAAAATCCTTAAATCCTAAAAGACAATGATATTCATGCAGGGTACCATGGCATCCTGGGGTGCCTCAAGATCCTTTCAGGGGTGCCTCAGGGTGCAACAATGTAAGTATTATTAGAGGTATAAACATGATTCACAAGATAAACCAGATATTTCAAGTAGAAATCCATAGTTATATTTCTGAATTCTTTGCAATAGAAAAACTGCCCTTTTGTGTTTCTGTGGGCAAAAATTAGCATACAAACAAAGAGCTAGCATTTTCCCAGGGGTGCCTCAAGTATAGATCCAGTGGTGCTGTACATCGAAAAATATTGAGAACCAGTGATATAAGGGATATTGTAGTTTGCTTGAAGTATTTGGGGAAAAGAATGACTGGGATTGGGAGTAAACTTGAATGAAAGGAAAACCGGAAAATATTTGCAAATACTTTTTGAAATCTTTACTACTTTTGCTGGTAATCTTTTAGTTTTTAACTGCTAGACTTTAATATCACTGCAGTGTTTGTCTGCTTTGTAGCAAACCTCCCAGTTAGCTGTGGAGCTGAGCTGAATTTGCCATGTCTTTAAGAACTGGAGGAAGGAGAGGAGGTTAGTGTCTCACGGAGAGAATGCATGTTCAAAAGGAATGAGCCATCGAGTTTGGACCCAGGAGCCTCCTGAGTTTTGTTTCCACCTTTTCTGGTTGCTGGTGATTAAAAATACATTATGAATGTTTATTTAGTCACCACAAGAGACTTGGAGACATTGCTGACTCCATTTTCTAGTTCAGTAGTGGGAAATATCATTACTTTGCTCTACAAATAGGAAAAGTGAGGTCAGGTGTGATGAGTAATTAGCCAGAAGTGCACTAAATCACAGTGTTGTCCTGTCAAATAGTTTTTGGTTCAATTCCAGGAGTGATGAGTGCTTCCAGATCTCATTGGTGGTATGGGTGCTCCCAGGTCTGAAGCAGTGCATAGAGTTGACACAGCCCTACTCTTACCTGTGTAGCTGACTGATATCCCTTGAATCCTAAAATCATAGAAAATAAGGATTGGAAGGGACCTCAAGAGGTCATCTAGTTCAACCTCCTGCCCAAAGCAGGACTGTACCCAGCTAGATCGTTCCAGCCAGGGCTTTGTTGAAATGAGCCTTAAAACCTTCCAAGGATGGAGGTTCCACCACCCCTCTAGATAACCTGCTCCAGTGCCTTACCACCCTTCTAGTGAGAAAGTCTTTCCAAATATCTAGCTTAAACCTCCCTTGTGGCAACTTGAGAGCATTGCTCTTTGTCATCTGTCATCACTGAGAACAGTCTAGTGCCATCCTCCTTGGAGCCCCTTTCAGGTAGTTGAAGAATGCTATTATATCTCCTCTCAGTTTTCTCTCCTGAAGACTAAATAAGCCCTGTTCCCTCAGCCTCTCCTCAGAAATCATGTGCCTCAGCCCTCAAACCATTTTTGTTGCCCTCCGCTGGTCTCTCTCAACTTGTCCACATTCTTTCTATAGTGGAGGGCCCAAAACTGGACACAGTACTCCAGATGTGGCCTCACCAGTGCAGAAGAGAGGGGAATCATTACTTCTCTTGATTTGCTGGCAGTTCTCTTACTAATACAGCCCGGTATGCTGTTAGTCTTCTTGGCAATAAGGGCACCCTGCTGGCTCATATCCATCTTATTGGCCACTGTAACCCCCAGGACCTTTTCTGCAGAGCTGCTGCTTAGCCAGTCAGTCCTCAGGTTGTAGCAGTGCATGGGATTCTTCTGTCCTCAATGCAGGACTTTGCACTTGTCCTTGTTGAACCTCATGAGATTTCTGTTGGCCCAATTCTCCAATTTGTCTAGGTCACTATGAGTCGTAGCCCTACCCTCCAGTGTATCTACTACACCCCCCAGCTTAGTGTCATCTGTGAACTTTCTGAGAGTGCAATCCATCCCATCTTCCAGATTGTTAATGAATATACTGAACAAAACTGGCCCTAGATCTGACCCCTGACACAGTCCATGTGATACCAGCTGCCATCTAGACACTGAGCCATTGATTACTAACTGTTGAGCCTGACAGTCCAGCCAGCTTTCTGTTCACCTTACAGTCCATTCACCCAACCATACTTCCTCAGCTTGCTTGCATGGATGCTGTGGGAGATGGTATCAAAAGCCTTGCTGAAGTCAAGGCATATTGTGTCAACTGCTTTCCCCATGTCTACAGAGCCATTTTTCTCATCATAGAAGGCAATCAGGTTGTTCAGGTATGACTTGCCCTTGTTGAATCCACGTTGACCGTTCCTAATCGCCTTCTTCTGCAAGTGCTTAGAAATGGAATCTGAAGGCCTGCTCCATGATTGTTTTGGGGACTGAGGTGAGGCTGACTGGTCAGTAGTTCCCTGGATCCTCCTTCTTCCCTTTCTTAAAGATGGGCACTATATTTGCCCTTTTACACTTGTCTCCGCCAATCGCTATGAGTTTTCAAACAATAATCATATCAGCCAACTCCCTCAGCACCCTCGGATGCATTGCAGGCAGCCCCAGGGACTGGTACATTTCCAGATTTTCTAAATAGTCCCTAACCTGTTATTTTAGCACTGAGGGCTGCTCACCTCCTCCCCAAACTGTGCTGCCCAGTGTAGTAGTCTGGGAGCTGACCTTGCCTGTGAAGACCAAGGTAAAAAAGGCTTTGAGTATTTCAGCTTTTTCCTCAACATCTGTCACAAGGTTGCCTCCCCCATTCAGTAAGGGACCCATACTTTCCCTGACCTTCCTCTTGTTGCTACCATACTTGTAGAAACCCTTCTTGTTACCCTTCACATCCCTTGCTAGCTGCAACTCCAATTAATTGCGCTTTGGCCTTCCTGACTTCATCCCTGCATTCCCAAGCAATAATCTCATACTCCTCCCAAGTTGTTTGTCCAAACTTCCACTTCTTGTAAGCTTCCTTTTTGTGTTTAAGCTCACCAAAGAGTTCTCTGCTAAGCCAAGCTGGTTGCCTGCCATATTTGCTATTCTTCTTAAACATTGGGATGGTTTGTTCCTGTGCCCTCAGGAAGGTTTCTTTAAAAGCTTTCCTGGTCTCCTGTCCCCCTCAGACTGGCCTCCCAGGGAAAGACCCAGCCCCACACAAATGCACACGCAAGCCCATAGCTGACAGGACTGGCACTGGGACTTCTGAGGAGTCTATCCATAGTGACTGTGCTTAGACCTGCCAGCCATAGTGCCTGTGCCAGGGTAATCTGCCCCAGGCAGAACTGTTAGAGCTGCTTTATGCTTCTTTGGCCCTTTCCCCTGCAATTCAGGGGCCAGAGAAAGGGGTATGGATTTCACCGTCCATTTGCAATCCCTTCAGAAGGTGCTGCTTAAATCACAGATTTGATCACAGATCTGTAGCAAGGTTATTTCATTTTATCATTTTAAGCTCTACATTCCTAACTATTGTTTTTTCTGCTCTGTAGGGGAGAAACCCTTCGCTGTGGTAGCACATAGTAAACAAAGCTTTTAGCCATGTTATGCAAGATGCTCTTTTTTTTTTTCCTCAGTTAAAAATAGATTGAAATTATGTCTCAAAGCCAAAGTATTTTTAAACCACTGGAAAACTCCTCTCTGCTATGTGGAGCAGTATCATATTAATTAGCATTCATTTATCCTCTTTTCCATCAGACAATTAACTATACAAAACTTATTTTCTACACCACAGGAGTCTTTTGTAAAACATTAGAATTGTAATGCGTTGAGCATTTTGCTACCCTAGCACGAGACTTAAGTATTGAAATTTGTTTTACCTAAGCACTTCTGTGGGAGAAAGATTTGGTGCTTGGTATTCATGCATGCAGTAATATTGTAGCCTTTTAAACATGAATCAATCCTTCTATCTTTGCCTTTATTATAGATGCATTTCATTGCAACTTTTTTGTTAGATTTGAATTTCTTCTTGTGACAGGCAAGTATTTCTGTGGGTGATTATCTTTACTGGAGTCACTGTATGGTTAGACTTAGATGAGCTTAAAGGTAGCAAATTCCCTTCTTCAGGTCTCTGGGAAAAAGGCAGATACAGCCTAGGTTATATAGGAGATAGAACAAAAGCCCGTACAGAACTCGATATGTAGATAAACACAGGATATAAGAGATGTGGAAAGGATCACCTATAAGTGAAAGAGCGAGACCATTCAGGAGGGTTGTTATCACCTGAGGAGTGCAGAGATTGGTGGGCATCAGATAGATTATAATGGTTCATGAAGTCAATATCTGCATTAGGTCCCTGATTGTTAGTGTTCAGTAAGCTAATTAATTTTTTGTTTCTGGGCTGTCTTTTAAAAGTGTTTTCCTAATTTCCCTTGAACATAAGGGCTGTGAGGTCAGATGGGGGAGTGGTTTTTCTGTGAGAAATATTCACTCTGGTGCATAGTTTTTTGTCTAGTTTCACCCACATAGTTTCCATGAGGGCATTTGGTGCACCAAATATACTGTTATCTACAGTCAGCACTGCATCTGTTCTGGGGAGGGTACTCTTAACACCTATCTTACCAAACTGAAAACTCCCTTTACCCTGCAAGGACACTCCAGCAGAGCAAGAGACTGTATCTTCGAAATAGCCACCTAAATACCCAGAACAGCCTACTACAATACAAGCAGAAAACTCCCACTGACTGCACA